AGTTCCTCTTTCAGACCTTGCGATCTATAGGACAGATGATGTAAAGGTCATCTGTTTCTGTGGTCCACAGTTAACGGGGGTGTCATGTGGCCAGTACAACGACCAACTAGCTTGACTAATGTCAAGTACCCTAGATCCCAAAATTAAAAATCCCTATCTTCGCCAGGATTTGAACCCGGGGCCCCACAGATTCAGACCCAAGAAAACAAGAATTTTACTACTCAGCCACTGTGCCTTAACATCATCTGGATATCTGTATCGCAAGGCCTGAAAGGGGAACTTTACTTACTTATTTGATCAGTATCTAGACTAAGTTAAAATATATTTCTAAAGCTAAACATGATTCAAACATCTTAATAGTCTGTCGAGCATAGAAATTTCTACTGATTTTTTCATTCATGAACATTTTCACAATTGCGCTCTAGGATCTCAAGATCTTGGGTTCTTTCCTTTTACACAATAATACCCCCATTTATATGGAGGGTTTAGTGTGCACTATAATTTCTTTAAAAATTTACTGCTACTTTATATGTTGGGGATAGATTCTGAGCCAAGAGACTGTTCAGGCTAATGAAAGTCCGCAAACTGTCGTCTCTGTCTTCTCTGCCAAGGAAAGTCCATTAAGTAGCCATTTTTCAAATCTTAGTAAGAGATCTTTCAGCTTTTCACATATTAGTACATCCTCATTCAGTCGCTCACAAAAAAGTGTTGGCACATATTCATCTTCAGAATGGTTTTGCAAAATTTATAGGCCTAGAAATCAGGTAATTTAATTTATCTAAAAGTTCTTTTTGTTTTCATGTTTCAAGTATCGAAATGATATTTTATATTTTAACTAAAATCATACCTTATTCCTCCAGCACATCTTTACAGAACTTTGGCATACATATGTTCCCTTGTCTTTAAGGATTCCATTAACGTAAAATTCTAAAATGAAATATACTGCTTGCTTGAGAAAATATATAAAATACTTGAATGGGAACTTTGATCTATGACTATGATCTATATTTTTGACATATATATATGTATGTGTGTGTATTGCTTTTGATCAGCATTTAGCGTTGAAAACATCTATTATGAAAAGGCAACTATTAGAACATTTTCCCCAGAAAGGTCAGCCACTGACTATTAAATGTTTTACTATGCTGATTAACATTTCCAGTCAAGAAATTTTTTAATTTATAAAAAATAAAAATTATCTTTTGATAACTTGTTTTACAGCTTGAGTTTGATCAACTTATTAGCACTGAAAAGAATTTGGTAGTTGTTGACTTCTTTGCGACATGGTGTGGTCCATGCAAGGTCATTGCTCCTCAGTTACAAGTAAATATATATTTTTTTTTTAATACCTTTTATTGATAAATAGAAACATTTTTAGAACCATCTTTTAGAAATATATTTCTTTTTATTACTTTAATATAGTTAAACATTTTTTTGTTTTTGTTTTGAGAAAATCTTAATAGGAAAGTAGCATGTTTCTTCTTTAAATGTCATAAAAAAACTTAAATGTAATTTAGAAACAATAATAATAATAAATTACAAACTATTTTCAGAAAAGTTATTACATTCTTAGCTTAACTTATCTATCTGATCAATCTAGATCCTTTGGTTTATTTAAGGTTTAAATTTGTTAATTTAGGAAGAAACCATTCTGTGTTCTAATGCGCCTAGAAAGTAATTTTATCAGAGTATATAGAACTAGAGTTTTATGTTTTATCTTATCTCTGTGAGTATCCACTAAGGTTTTAATGCTTTTGTATTTGTAGGTTAGATGGATCAGTATTATCTTTCTATGTTTAACTAAAAGTTTTTTAATGAATGTCATGCACTAAATTTTCGTCTCTATGTTATGAGCCTAAAAGCCCTGACACATCCACTCACCTATCTTAGTGATTTAATTAATCACTAATTCTCCCACTTGCGCTGGACAAAAAAAAAATTACTTACCTTGCATCTAGAACAACTAAGTCATTTTCATTTTTGAAACGCAGCAGTTAAATTTAAAAAAAAAATATGTTTCATTTGCAATTTCGACCCAATATGTTCTTTTTTAAAACGCTTATATTAAAAAGGACAAAATAATACTTCATTCCATTTTTAATTACTATTTTAACTCTTTTGTGCATAAATTTCAATAGCGATCCTTGGCCTGAAGCTTGCTTTTGTAGGCATTTTCATATGAAGCCATACATGTTATGTGTGTTTAAAAATGTATAAAAGCAAAATGAAATATAACTACAACTATATTATTTTGTGTGTATAAAAAATAAGGATAAAAAGATATGGTGCCTTAGTGATTACAAAAAAGGCGTCAGACCAAAAGCAACATAGAGCTTATGAAATATTTTAATATTGGATTAAGAAGATGAAGAAAAGTGATTGTAAAATTATTTTTTAGTGGTGATGACTGTGAGGGAGTGAGAAAAGTGATGCTAGGATCCTCAGGCCAGAAGTACGAGTTTCTGTGTGGGGTGTCTGTATAAGCGGGCCATTATAATTCACCATAACATACTATAATTAATTGGCCAAAATTATCGTAGGGGACTGTTAAAATGGTTCAGGGGTTCTGTCAAAATATGTGAGCTTTCAATGTGCAGGATGAAATAATAGGCTCTGGCCTAAAAGTACCAAAGAGCCTTTCAAATATTTTGATAAAAAGCCAAAAATACAAAAAATATCATAGAGCTTATAAAATATTTCAAATAAAAACTGAAAAGCAGATGAATAGTCAGATAGTGTAATAAGATTTTTTGTGTTAAGTGGAGAGAGGAGGATGGGAAAAAAGATTGGTGAATTTACAGGCAGGTCCAATTCATGTAATAGATTCTAGAATTTGATGGCCAAAGAAATTTATGGGAAAGGCCTTTTGTGGGTCTTATTTTATTATTTATTATTATTTTATTATATATAAGAAAAAAGGAAGGGGGTCCTTGGTAAAATAGGCGATATGTAGCCTATTACATATAAATGAACAATACAAATCAAGGTGTGTGTGTGTATATATATATATATATATATATATATATATATATATATATATATATATATATATATATATATATATATATACACACATGTATATATTTAATTATCTCTCTCTCAAGTCTCTATAATATTAATATGGGTATTGAAATTGCCCTTCTTATTTAACCAACTTCATAAATTATGCATAATTTCTCTTTCAGAAATGGTCTGAAGAATATGATGATGTCACATTTGTAAAAATTGATGTTGATGAAAATGATGTAAGTTTTATAAAAATAAACAAAATATTCATTTCAAAGAATCAGTTTTTAAAAAATCATTTAAAACGAAATGTTTTTTTCTTTGTAGCTGCATTTAAAGTCTGCATTTGTTACAAAATGTGAAAAAAAAAATGATTGCACGTATTGTTCCACATTTAATTTAATGAAAATAAGGTAGGTTTGCTTGTGGCATTAAATCATTTGTTTGATTATAGTTCCTGATTTTTTTCGCAGGAAACTGCAGAAGCCTGTGGAATCTCAGCAATGCCAACTTTCTTCTTATATAAGAATGGAAAAAAGGTTTGTATATTGATTCCGCTCATTACCTAAACATTTATCTATGATTTTCAATATATTGAAAGGAGAGCAATTATGAATGCATTTTAAATTTAGTCACAAGAAAAAAATGGTTTAGTTGTTTTATTTTTAATTTCTACTTTCATTTAAATTTTTTTTTTTTTTTCGATTTAGCTTTAGAATAGCTTTATATTGTTCTTGTCAGAAGGTTCACTTGTATGCTTTGACTTGACTTGGCTCCTTAGGGGTATGAATACTAAATTACATTTAATTAATACTTGCTACACGAATACTTGTTACACAAAAATAAGAACAATCAATACTTAATATACTTCAACCCTAACTCCGGCTTTATAAGGAAAACAATAACACTTTAATAATCAATTAAGCACACAATTATATTAACTCTTAGTAAATAATACACAAACACCAGTGCAGGAAGTAAATGTCCAACCTTCCTGGACCGGGAGCAAGACCTCACTAACTTAACACACTCTCTCTTACATTCAACGAAGACTTAACCATTCAGTTTACAACACGTGCAAGACTGTTCACATTCACAACCAGGGAATACATATACAAGAGGATATAACTATCATACCAAAATATCAAACCGACATTCACTCTTGCCATACCTCCCCCTGACAGTTCTGAATATGAAAAGCATATAGAGTCCTAATACCTTGGTTTACTTTTTTTGTCTTTTCAGGTTGATGAAATTGTAGGTGCTAATGCTGAAAGGCTCCTTGAAAAAATCATAGCCAACAAATAAAAATGCTCATAATAAAATAAATATATGATGTAGTGAATGCCTTGTCTATCTATCTATATTTCATATTGTACTGGTTCTTTTTTTTTTTCATTCAGATAGTTTATGTCAAGAAAACTATTAATCAAAACTTTTACACCTCTGCAATGGTTTGTTGGTGGTAGGACTATTAGAATAATATATTTCAGTTCTGTCCATAAAATAAAAGTATGCCAATCACCAATTACTGTCATCTCTTAGAAAACAAATATACTGAATAGTTATAGTCTGGTCAACATGAGTGGCAGTTGTTCCCAAGTGAATATTTCTAGTATTAGTAGTAGTACTCTACCAATTGATGTTGACATGAACATAAATTGTGACATTTGGCTCAAATGCATGAAGTCATTCTAACTAAATGGCATTTATTTATATGGTCAGGGTCTGAGACACTTCATTGTTTGTATTACTTAAGAGTCATAAGGCACTGAATGCTGTGTGTAATTGTGTGTGCTTGAGCGATCTTCTTAGTTTGTTATTCTATGGTGTTCAACTTTGGCCACATAAAATATATGGTAAGTGTTATCCACTTATTTTGATTTTCAATTTACAAGTTGTGATTTTTATTTTTAAATCTTTACTAGTAGTAGATCCTTCGAAATTACCTCTAGATTGTTTCATTATATAGTTGAAGATAACTTTAAAAATTTGGGGGGGGGGGGGGGGGGGGGGAAATCGCGTGATCAGCATGTGTGCTTAAAAAAAAAAAGTCTAGAAAATATTTTTTTAAAACTGTTTCTTACATGAAAATCTCTTTGGCTTCTTTTGCAGACGTGCCACAATGTCGTTAATATTTTTTTGTTTGTTTTGATTTTTAGGCTTTTATAAGGAAATTGTTTTCATTATTTATACATAAAGGATTAAAAAAGAACTTTCATTCCAATTTGTATGTGTGTGCTTATTTCTGGTGTAAAATCAGCTCATTATTCAATTGTTTCCATTTACTAAACACTAATAAATTTAAATCATCCAGATTTGGTGTGTGTGTTTTGTACTTGTACATTTAAGTTTACTTTGGGTCCATGCTTGTTTTAACTAGAAAGTCTCTGATTCCTTGCTAAAAGTCCAAATCTTGACATGGATATTGAAGGATTCAAACTCAAACCTTTAGATGTGTAACCAGATTATCTTTACTTTTAGTGTGAATTATAGTCCAGGTAAGTACAGAGACAAAAGTATTAAGTCTTTTCAATTAAGTATCTTGGTACCGGTAATTAGTTAGTGACACACACACATCTGAATGTTTAACTGAAGAGCACTAAAGAAATAGACAAAACGTTTTGAAACTAATGTGCGGGTGTCTACTCTCGCCATATTATACCCGGGTATACTAAAACTATTTTAATAGGGTATTTTCAACTAACTTCACCATATTGTTTGCTACAGTTAATGCCATGGTAACCAATTAATGATCAACAGTACTGGTAGTCGTTAATGCATTGTTTTAAATGGACGGACACAAACTATCGCTTTCTTGTCAATGATGGTACCGGTACACAAATTAGTTCTGTATTTTATGTGCACGGGCACTCCAGGTCGATTAATTGCTCCTGTAGTGGCCTGATATTGACAAAAACTAGTAGGCCTTTGTACGGAGCAGATCAATAAGAAAATTCTAAAAATATTTTACAGAGATAATTTCCAGTTGCATAGATCAATCACAATGATGATAATATATAGGCCTCAAATCGTTACGTCTATATCGGTAGGAAATGATCCTGTAGCAAATACAAGTCCGAGTCGGGGGTTCAATGTTAAGTGGAAGAATTGAAACGTTTTGTTTTTTTTGCAGTAGCGACATTACTTTTACCTCTTGCATTTCTCACAAAAGTCGAATATTGACAATCTTTGACTTCAACTATCTTGAAGGCATGGATATATTTCGTTTGATTCGACCCATGCTTTTTTGCATTACTATTGGCTATTTTCTTTTAATTCAATACTCCACTCAGATTACGGTACCTAATTATTTGTTCTGTATTGGTCACACGACTTACTTCTTAAGGATAAATTCACCTGCCACACGGACCTTTACTGTACAAAGTACGAAAGTAACTTGATCTCGACCTAAGAAACCAGACATGCGATAGCTTCCTTTCGTGTGCTGGTTCCTAAATCAAATTGAAATGCGTGGTAATAAAATATCGTTTTAAATATAACAAGAAAAACAAAACAAAAAAAAAAGCTTATATTAAGCGTGGTTATATCAACTAGTTTGGATCAGTCTTGTAATTAAATTTGTAATAGATGTAGAATAACAATAATATGCTAAGACAAATTTGAACAAATGCTTTCTTTTTTCCTAGTACTGTTAGAGCATGGAATGGGTTGCCTGAGTCAGGCATTAAAACCAATGACACTGCAGAATTTAAGTCATTAATTAACATGCATGACTAGATTGACCTAGGAACACGTTATACGTAATCATCTTTTTTTTTTTTTGTTGGAAGTAGCGTCTATATTTCATAAGATGTGCGATCACAAATATTTGTATTTGTTTTTTGTTTAGTGCAATTTCATGCTTATAGCTTTCTGGGTACCGGTACCCTATAATCCTATCACTCGTTTGGACTAGTTGGAGAGAAAGAAAGGGTTATCTAGGTGATCGCTTTTTAAATGCATATTTATTAAAAAGATGAACGACCTAACCCTCCCAGAGCCAAAACATTAACCACAACAGAGATATGTTGATGGAAATGGAAAGTTTTATAGTTTAAGTTATCTTTAGTTAGTTTCAAACTTTTCTCTTTACAAAGTATAAAGGGGGACTTATTCTACGAATACCAGTACCTTAAATCAGTCAAGTACAATTTTCCCTTATTCGAGATCCCAAACAAAATAATTAATTACCAATAGTTAATTAACTAATTGTTTGTTTACCATCTTATTGATTTTTTAAAATCGGGTAAACGAAATTATAGAACAAAATTTCAGCTTGAACTGGGTGTAGGAGAACTAATGTGTAGGCCACAAACTTTTTACCAGACAGAATGAGTTGATATTATAAGCTTTGTAAAATATCTGTTAATCCTGTCATGCCTCAATAAAGGTAAACGTTTGTACCCCATATTTATTTTAATAACATTGCGCATTTGAATCTCATAAAATGGTATTTAGAAAAAGAAGTCCTTGACAATTTATTGCCCCTACTTCTTACCTGAACCGGAGATGAACGGTTGACTCACATTTTGGTATGTAGGAGGTGGGCCGTCTGTGACCTCTGCATAATAATGTCCATGCAATAGTGCTAAAATTTACTTGACTTAAATCCTAAGTAGCGTTTATGAACACGCTAAGTCAATCCTGGTTTGTGTCCGGTTGTCTCAGTGTCTGTAAAACCTAAATATATAGTTTGGGGTTTTTACGGATATGGACTTTTAGGCTTAACTTACGACGTATTTAGCTTTTTTTCTAAAATTATAACTTGGTCCCTAAAAAGAACATGGCGACGCAATGTATAGGTATATGAAGCTGAAAGAACTAGGAAGCTAGCAAAGAGAGAGTAGGGAGTGACGTGTTTTTACTGAGACCCTATATGCTCCACAAGGAACACTAATTAAAGGACAGAAGATGATGATATTTCTAATTAAAATTATTAACTTTTCAATAAGCTTATATTGTTTTGTGATATCATAACATTTAAAGTTAAATAGGTTTATACAAAGATCTATCTGGGGTTTATAGGTCTATGTGTAAACCTAGATAACGTCTAACGTAGTAAATGTCGGATTAATATATTACTGATGTGCACTAGGGTGGGTGTCACCAGGTGCGGTCAGCTTTAAAAAAAATCCTGTTGTTTTTTTTCGTTTGTCTGTTGAACTGTCATACATATAGCTTATAATTACCTACGTTATTTGATTGTTGAACAAATTTAAAATGAGTGCCTATTAAATTTTAAAATTCAATTTGACTATAGTTCATATGTATTGTGCAGTCATGTGAAACTCTGCACTCATCCTTTATCTTATCTTATATAATTAGTGATTGGAACTAAACTAACTTTTAAAAGTTAAACTAAAACTAGTTTTCAACATAAATAAAGTAGTTAAACTATTAGTTTATCATGAATTTCAAAAAGATAGTTAAACTAAACTAAAGAAAGTTAATTAAACTATAACAAAATTATTTTTGTTTTTTTTTTGGGGGGGGGGGGGGCGGGGTTGAACCGGACCTATATAGATATAATCATCCGACTGTATGCCTACGGTTCGATCTTTGTTAACATTCTAGTAATATTTATCTATAATAAATTCAGTAGGCCTATTAAGAATATGTTTCTTACATAAACGTTAATCCACAATAAAAATAAAATGTCTAAATAAATATGTGTGCTTGTATTTTTGCCTTGAATTAAAACCTTTAGAAAATAATGGTACTCTTTTTTTAAAAATTATATTAACTTATTATATAACGGAAAATCTAACTTATAAAGTTTAAAATCTCATTAAATAACATATATTTAGCATTTCAAACTTAGATCTAGTATCCAAAGAAATAGAAACGAAATCGTTGGAGTTTTTAAAACATTTGATCTGTATAACTATTTTATAGTGTAAAATACATGCTTGACTAACCATGGCGATGTGCTATTTTCTTGTCTGACCAGAAATGGAAAAGTGGTTTGACTGCTGGGACAAGTCCCAAAAAGCCCGTGGAGTCTGGGAGCGCATGAGGCGCTCTGACAGCATTTCCCCGTGGTGGAGGCTGTCCAGGCCTGAGCAAGCTATTCTAGCACAGTGCAGGACAGGTCATTGTCCTGTTGGCTCATATTTCTCACGGCTATGGCCAAATTTTGATTCACTGTGCCCCCGCTGCGGGGATGAAGAGGAAATCGTGCCTCATATTCTGTTTGACTGCCCCAGACTTGCTGATCTCCTAGGGCTTTTGCAAGAGAGGATTTTAGCCTCTCAAGCCCTAATTCAAATGGAGTATGATGATGATGATGTCCGACCACTAAAAATACAACTAACACTATTGCATAGCCGTTAAACGCGCAAGGGAAAAAAAACTGGGTGATCTTGTCATTATCAACCGCACACTAAGTACACTATATAGACCTACACGTGTACGTCTATTTACTTTCTGGGCAGGAAGGGTGTATAGCTATTCTAGTGTAAAAATATATCTACGAACATGCTTGACTAGCCACGCCAGTGTGTTATTTTCTTGTCTGACCTCTCCACATTAAGCAAACACTATTGCATAACGCCTAATGCAGGGTAGTCTTACAGTATTATCGACTACACACGTACAGTAAACTAGGCCTACATGTGGTCATTCATGTGTATGTCTAGCTGACCAGGTTGTCAAAATCAGCTGGACACAGTCTATTTACTGTATAGTCATAGAGAGTGTGGATTAAGATTTTTTTTTCTAGAGTTGGTTACCCTAAAGCTTTTAGATCTATAAAGGCCTAGCTGTTGATTTAGACTTAATAGATCTCAATAATAAGTCTTGGAAGACTATAAAAGGGTGTACTTGATGTTCCTGCTGTTTAAAAAATATTGTTTGTCGCAAATGAATTGATTAAAACCACTAAATATTGACCTAACGCACTAATCAGATTCCCACTAGAAACTGAAGTTAAACAACTCCACGTGGCTCACAAAAAACAACCTCATTCCTAATACTGCATAGAAGCTTTTGGCAAAAAATGTTTAACATTTTATAATACTGCTACTTTCAAGTGTAAATATTGACTCCCATAACTTCTACCAGGATCCTACTTTACCCTCTTCAAATGCAGACAGTCTAAATAGTTGTTAACTGCATCATTTTTTTTTTATAATCAAAGTTATTGATATTACATGACCAGTGCTCGATTTACCGCCGGGGATGCCAGGGAATATACCGGCACTATGAGGCTCCCCCCGGCTCTGCTTTAACTTTTACCATCCCCGCCCGGCACTGGTTTTTTAAGTCGAATAAGTGCAACCACGAAATTTTTAGTTAAATGGAAAAATTTGGTACGT